ATTTCAAAGAGGCTTCATCGGCACCTCGCGAAGCTGACTGGATAGTTTTTGTGGTTTATGGCGAGGCGTCAAACGCCATGATCCTGGCGGGCCCAAAATGGGCGACCGCTTAGCACGCCCGCCTCACAGTGCAGAGGTGCAGAGTTCGAGTCCGGCCTTCCTACGGAGGGGAGTTTCCATGTTCTCCCCGTCCGTGCCTGCGTGGCTTTTCTCCAGGTACTCTGCTTTCCTCCCACATTCCAATCACCTGCACACTCTCGTGAGGATATATCGGATCAGCACATGGATGGATGGGGCCGAAAAGGCTTGCTTCCGGAGTTTTTCTCAAACATGGCTTTTTGAGACTTTGGAGCGGGGGGGGGGGGGGTTAGTCATAAATAAAGTTTTCACTCTGGCATATGTTAATGACTGAATACATAGTTTGTGGGATGAGGGCCACGTTGAATTTGGGTGAACTTTGTAGAGTGACCTGAGTGGAAATCAAATTTAGCTGAAAATGGCCGCCACAGGCAAGGCTTCGTCAGACTTTTTTGTGGGTCACGTCATGATGGGTGCATCAACCAAATTTCATTTTGCCAAGTAAAACAGATTTGGGGGGCTCAATGTTTTTGTGACCTTGTAGACGAATTAAAAATGACCAAAAAAAGGGCCTTAAATAAGAAAATGGTTGCTTCGATCCAAATATGACAACTTCCTCGGGTTTTTTTCAGGCATGGCCTGGAGACTTTTGTGGATCTGAACATGATAGACGTGTCTACCAAATTTCATGTAGCTCACTGAATCTGCTTTAGGGGCCTGAATTTTCAAACACCGCAGAGGATGAATATACCGAGACAATTTGGTAAATCCTTAGCTTCATTGCTGTTGATTTTTTTTCCACCCTTCTCTAAGATAAATACATGACTTATACAGCACACACAGCCATAAATACACATACACACGATTGAACTCTTTGTACATTCACGCCCAAAGATTATTCCAGCGGCTTCCCTGAAGGTTTTGCGGAAATGTATAACAGCCAGATTACAGGATTAAATACCCACCACCACCACCACATTAATCGAGACAGAGTGCATAATGAGCACATGCAAGTTCATTGATTCTTTTAGATGCCTCTACATCATCATCAACAACAGGATCACGCTCACAATTAATGCGGAGAGGTCTCATGACAAGGGAGAGAGGCTCTCATCATATCATATGTGCAGTACAGTATATCATTGAATTGAAACGTGTGCAGTCATTAACATCTGCCAGAGTATTCTTCAGCGGAAAACGTTTCGTGAGACTCACAGGAAAAATAACAAAATTAAGGTTAAAAAAAAAAAAAAAATCTAAGTAATGATAGTACACATAAGGATGAGAACAGTATAAAGCGTTTTGGTTTCAATTTGTACTTGGGGAGCTCCTCTTGGCCCTTGAGGGAGTCCATCTTAATGCATTACGCCGAGCAAAAAAGTGTGAAGATGATATTTTATTTAAAAAGAATCAATTAGAGGAAAATCTACTGGGGAGTTTAACCCAGAAAGAATTCCAGCGTGAAAAATGGATGTTGCTTTTCATCATTCGGGCTTTTCTCAACAATGCAAATTAGCTTTCAGCATTGCTAGCTTTTCGCATTGGAATCTGTGTCAACGTAGCTCTTTAGCTTCTATCGGAGTTCATTCTCGGTATGGTTAGTTGCGTTAACCTAGCTTCATAACGTAACACAGTGTGTGTGTGTGTGTGTGTGTGTGTGTGTGTGTGTGTGTGTGTGTGTGTGTGTGTGTGTGTGTGTGTGTATTGTTGCAGTATAATAAGCTGGTGGTGTGATTAGCAGAGTTATCATGGCTAATTTTCAGAGCGGAAAGCCGGGACTGTAGTTACCGGTAGCATAGTTATTTTTGTGAATACAATTCATTGTTTAGCATACCTAACCGCTAACATAGTTTGCTTGGGTTTTATAGTCCACCGTTATCTCGGTCATGTGCGTTAATGACTTTTATTGACAGCACGATAAACAGTATTAGCATAGTTCAATGTTAGCATGGTTAGCTATTACTAGAGTTTGCTACCAGCTAACAACACAGACAGCTAAGTTGAGTATCAGCGTGATTAACTGGGAGAGTGTGTAGCTAGCTGATGGCTAAGTTATATGTCAACAGTTCATTGTTCGTATAGCTAGCTGTTGACATAGTTGGCCTAGTTGTTTTTTTGTGAGCATGTTGTTAATTAAGGGCACATGCTTCAGTCAACGAAAAGCAACATCATGAAAAACTATTAAATACAGTGTGAATCGGAGAAAAAAAATGTTTTAATGTACATTTTTCTATATTAGGCATTTGACTGAATGATGCAGTTGGTCGAAAAGAACCCTAAACGTACTGATCGGCCACGTAGCAACACTTTATTACATGAAGGATGAGAATGTTGTTTGAGCGTGACACAATTTGCACCAAACGCTAATGGCTGCCATAACTCACGGCCACTCTAACCCTTCCCGAAAGACACCGGCAGCACACACACACACACACACACACACACACACACACACACACACACACACACACACACACACACACGTGACACAGATTTATGTACATGTTAAGCTCTCGAGAGCGGTTTCGAACCCTCTTAATGGACCGCCTTGTTAAAAAGACCAGGCGGAACCGCTATTATTTTGACACAAATGCACAACGTGGCCTCATACATATGAGGACGGACAGTACAAAACACTGCTCAGAACTAACAGTCGGTAATAAAAGGATGGAATTTGTTCAGTCATGGTGGCGCTGCGTAGCGGCGTCACTGGCTTACTCCCGGGCACCTAGAGGATGACCGGCAAGCAGAGGAACATGAAATTGGCTGATAATACCACCAGAACAAAGCAATGAAATTCACAACACTCCCGCCAGCCAGGAAACGTTGGCGCATATCCAGGACATTCTGCTGTTCTTTGGTTTTGTGAGATCACATGCGACATCACAACCAGGGATTGGGGCGGACAGGAGGCTCTGCTCCAATTACACAGGGATCAAACTCTTCGGCCTCCCTGGTAAACTCTATTTGGGGCGAATGGAGAGGAGGCTCCGTCCGCAAGTCCAATCTTATATTCAGGAGGACCAACATGGTTTTCGTACTGGTCGTCAAACCGCTCTTCAGGATCTTGAGGGTGCATGAGAGTTCACCCCAACCTGTCTGTCAATCAATTGTAATGGCAATTTGACATTGAACAGCGCAAAATGCAAGTAACTGTTTTTACTATTGAATGCTGAACAGTTATTTTGCGGATGAGCAAATTTGCACTCGTCTGTACTCTGTGTAGCTGCTCGCGCTGACCTTCACCACCTCCCAACAAGATAACATGAGAGCACAAGATGCGGGGGGCGGGGTGGGGTTGTCCCTCCATGTTTTTTTTCCTTTTCTTTTCTTAATAAATCTCATCATTTTTATGAATACTTTCGCTGTCTCGGTTTCCTGGGACAAGACACAGTATGACATGTTTCATAAAAATGACACACACTACAGCCTTGATTTTAAACAGCAGGGCCAAGTGCCCAATTCCTAATTCATGTTTGTATCCGATCGTCTCCTCCGGTTTGTGTACGTTTCAAGGGACATACTGTATGTATACAGTATGTGTACAGAGATAGATAGATAGATAGATAGATAGATAGATAGATAGATAGATAGATAGATAGATAGATAGATAGATAGAGAGAAAGAGAGATAGACACACACACCTGTGTGTGTGGTGAAGCATGTTTTGATTATGTGGCGTTCGTATGGCTGTATATGTTTGTTTTTAAAATGTGCATGAAACATTGAAGAGTTACTTCACACACAAATTGTAAAAGCGTTTGACTGTAAAGACTACAATATCGACTCCTTCACTCATTTGTTACTTTCACAAATTGAACATTATTCTGGGCTTTCACAACATAGAATATAATTACACATGCTGTATGTAAGAAGACATTTCGGTGTGATGGAGCATCCGCTCCTCCCTCCGTTGTCACGGTGGCGCGCGCTCGTTGTGGCGTGAAACCACAGCCACAGGGTCATGTTACGACGGCGTGACGTCACGGCCGTAAAGTGTGCGGTTGCCAAAAAGGGTTGTTCTAAAAAGATGGCTACTGACAATAAACGGCAGTGAGCACCGAGTCAGTTTCCAAGCGTTTCATTGGACATAACACTCGTCCTCATCCTCATCCTCCACCAACAAGGAAGAAGTCGTCTGCTCAGGTGACAAACGACGCTCAGCGGCGGGCATTTTGTCCTCTGGCAGCAACATGTCCTCATTCTCGCCACCAGGTGGCAGTATTGATCTTGCTCTCATAAAATGCGACTTCATTCGCGCGGGATTACAATTTTTGGATTTTCCCCCCACCAAAATAGCATTGTCAAAACAATTTTTCGCGAGAAAAAAACAAAAAACGATGTTTTTCGCAACTGATCGATGAAGGATTAAAATCGAGAAACAATCACTGTTGACCTACGTTCACGCAACTTTTTTTCTCCAAAGAAATTTACTGTGACAATGCTTCAGTAAAAGGTTGCCTTTTTATCTTGACAAAAAATACGGCGTTGTGTCTTGACAAAATCTTGGGGAAAATTTTGAATATTCTCATAAGACTTTTAACCTGAGGGCTGAATTTATTGTCATAATATTGCAATTATTTACACCCCCAAAACATGACTTTTTTCTTCTTGGAGGGGAAAAAAAGACAATTCTGGAAAAAACAGACATTTTATCCTAAAATCATATATTTTTCTTCTGGTCCAGCGTTCTGTTTTCCACCAAAAAGTTTGACTTTTTATCTCAAAGAAATCCAACTTTTCATTTGGGGACGGAGGGGGGAATCTTTATTTGCAAATTATTTCATCCATCCATTTGAAAGCATTTAACATTTTATCATGACAAACTTTACTTTTTTTCTTTGTATGATGTCTTAAATTCACCCCCCAAAAATTCTGTCTTGACAGAATCCGACCGTTCTTTTATCTTGGCGGGGGGTCCAGAGCCACATTGACCTCTGTCGGACGAAACAAGAACATCTCGACGATAAAACGGCCTCGTATGCTATTTTCATTTCCAGATACTTTCACTTCCTTTCTTGATTACATGATTCTTCCATCATCACGGAAAGTTGAGGTGATAAACTGCACATCTGGCTCATTCTGACTAACCTAACTCTGCTGCTCAAGTTGTCGTTGCAATAGCCCCGCTTTTTTTTTTTTTTTTTTTTTGCATGAACGTGACTGCGTGTGTCAGGAAAAAGGAAGTGTTGCGACGACGGCGCTTGAAGAACACCCACTGCGGAACAGAGGCGGAACGACAGAATGTGACAATGAAGTCACAGACGAGAGACGACCGTCCACGCCGAGGAGCCGTCTGAAGGTGAGCTCGATGACTCCTTGCCCTTGGGATTTCGTTCGCCGTTTTGGCCCCGTTTTCGTCACAGTGAAAACGGCCTTCCAGGCAAAAGTATTGGGACCAAGTACAGGAAGTGAAAGTTGAAGTCTCTCGCGATAACGGCTTCCTTCTACCACATTTGGGGTGTGCGTCTGCTCTCTGCGTCGGGAATTGTCCACCCGTGAAGCAGGGTGCGCTCAAAGAAAGTTTCAACATCTTGAACCGATTTTTCAGCTCACTACAAGCGGTCCATACATTTGTAAAAAAGTGCGCGCTTGTGAATACGGTTCTTTGAGTGTTTCATTCACTTTTCAGTGACTAACGCAGCACACATAACCCGTTTGTCGCAGTACCAAAACTGGCCTGTGTGGCGCCACAGGCCATCTAGACTGACCGAAGAAGAAGGAAGTGATTTTTCTGATTGCCTCTATGAACTCCGTCCATGGCAGCCATTTTCAAAATACAGAACCTTTTGCGGGCTGGGCAATTTAGGGCTCAGAGATAAACAGTCAACAGTTTTTGTAAACTGAGAAACTGCCAAATGGAAAATTCGACTCTCTTCTTTCATCACGCAACCAAGTTTTTTTTTTTTCTACCTTATTCTGATTTTAGTAATGAGCAGTAAAACATGGGTTGTTTTGCCCCACATCACTTATATTTTTGGACCCCAAAACACTTTTGTGAAAAGATACATTGTTTCTGCCACTGTGACCTAGATGTTCATCATTTTTGCTTGAGTAACGCCTCAAACATCAGAACGGTCCTTTTTGTCTATAAAATACTAATAGGAAACAATGGAAATGCCCTTTTGGTGGCAAAATAATACATTTACAATGAATCACCGATTTAATTGTACTTTGAACAACCATGACAAACTATTTTCACTGTATTTAGTACTATGAAGTAGTAGTAGTAGAATTAAGTAGTGTGTGTGTATGCATGCATATATATATATATATATATATATATATATATGTGTGTGTGTGTGTGTGTGAATGTTTGTGTCTGTGCATTCATGATGTCATTGCTTCTACTTCAAAACTGAAATCATCTCTGTCATGTTTTCTCTTTCTTGTGACACACACACACACACACACACACACACACACACAAAAAGATCGGCAAATAAAAACTAACCCACTTGCTCTAAAATCGAATTGCTTTAAACTACCGTAGAAAGTCAAAACGAAATAAAAACAAACTGAAAGCATTATAACCCTGGTCAAGGACAGTTCACAGCTCGTGTCAAAAGAGGGGCAGGGGGATGGTGGTTGTGGCAGCCCACGCTGCGATTCGCAACGTTGACGGGAAGTAAGAGGATGTGGTGGAGGGCGGGATTGGGGGGTGCCATATGAGCCAGCCGTGCCACTGTCTACATGTCAAAAATGACCCAAAGCTGGATGTATCGATTGATCGCTTGAGAGCGCGTGCTTGTTGTCAGGATATCAGCGAACCACAACATGGAGTTGTGGCGGCAGTGTGCAAAATGGCTGATCGAGTGCCGCGTCTTGCCGGAGACGCACCGCGTCACCTGGGAGAGCGCGCAGGTGAGGCCGCACACTCACACGCGCAACTCCGTTAGCTTTGCTTTTAGCTTGTTCAATACAACTGTGTGTGTTTGTGCGTATGTCAGGTGTGCGACCTAGCTCAGGCGCTCAGAGACGGCGTGCTCCTGTGCCAGCTTCTCAATAACCTGCTGCCTCTGGCCATCAACCTGAGAGAGATCAACCTGCGCCCGCAGATGTCCCAGGTAAGGCACGGACGGGCACTCAAAAGGTGGAAATGAAAAGTCAACATGCCCCAATTCAAATGAAGAAAAATCATTTTGATACTTTTTCCACCTTTCGTGTGTCGCCGAGGCTGTCGGAAACATTTGAAACAGAAAAAAAAAATCTTTTTGAGAAGGACGCGGGTGAAATGGGAGTCGGCGCACACCGGGCACCATTTCAGGTGCCGCTGATGAATCCCCGATAAAGTTCAGATGTTCATCTTTGGGCTTTCTCGCAGAAGGTTTGTCGGACATATTCCAGACATGCCATGATTATGTTGAGCCAATTTTATGAGAACTTCTTTCTAAAATATATATTTTTACAGCGCGATCGTTTCAGAAATTGAATAGATTTTTTTTCTTTTTTAATCCAATTTGGAATTATTTAATAGCAATTGTTTATCGCAGCTGTACACAATTGACTGAAAAGAATTTTTTTAATTTTCACTGACATTTAAATCATATTTAATGGCTTATTATTGTTATTTTTTTCAAACAAATTTTTAAATGGATTTTTATATTTTTAATAATAACGTTTGTGCTTTCTTTATGACCTGACAAAATGTTTGGAACTTTTAACAAATTTCATTTCATTATTTTGTTTGTGACATGCTCAATGATGACCTTTTTTTTTTTTTTTTTTTTTAATTATTGGCATCGTTCTGACGTTTTTATTATTTTACAACATTTTTGTTTCTTTCACGCATTCGTTGTTATTTCTCATTTCCTTATTTTTTTTTTTCTCATTGCATGTGTGAGTGTGTCCAACAAACATGGAGCTTTGGGTAATCCCCTGTGGGGCCAATCGGAGTTTGGACACTTCGGGGTCATCACAGACGATGACACACGGGAATGCACACGTTGACACACACACACACGCACGCACGCACGCACGCACGCACGCACATTCATGGTCTTACGCAACAACGGCGGCACGTCCAGACGCCGCGAGTTACTCCTCGTGTTGTTATGTGGGGCAGTGACCTGCCAGCACCAACACGATGTGTGTCAGTCGCGACTCAGCATTTCCTCTCCTCTCAAGCGACACTTCCCACTCAGCTTAACACACACACACACACACACACACACACACACACACACACACACACACACACGCACGAACACACACGAACACACACGTGCGCGCGCACAGGAAATTATGTAAAATGTCATATGTCATGCCCCGCCCACCCTCAGCACGTGGGTAGCATTGTGCATAGCGCTATCTGCGGTTATTTTGGTGGTTCCTATTATTCGCATTGCTTCTTTCGCAGCCTCTTCTGCATCTCATTTCTCGTGCGCAGCACTTTTTTTTTTTTTTTTTCCAAACACGCATTTGACTGTTAACTGTCAAACGAGTTCAAACCAAGCATTGCGGTTTTTACATGGAAAAGTGATTTTAAAAATTATCTGAAAAATTGGGCTATATTCTCAGCAATATATTTTGAAATTGTTCTAATTGGTGTTGGCACGCCCCCCATAATCAATGTGACAAGCCGAGATTTTTACCTTCAACTCAAAAGCCGTCCTGATTTCAAATCCAACCTGACTCAACACTGCCACCTGTTCGTGATTACGCCAGCGATTGGCGAGCACTGACAAGCTGGCCACTCCTACCCATTAAAAAACGGATTTGAGGTATTTTTAGTATCGGCCATTTCATTGTCCCCAAAGCAAAGGTAGCCAGCATTCATTGGCTTTCTCTGTCAACCCCAAATGAATTTTCAGCTTGACTGATGCCACGCTTGTAACGATCAAATGCCTTGGTAACCTTGTGCGGTTCTGTCCAGTTCCTGTGCCTGAAGAACATCCGGACCTTCCTGGGCGTGTGTCAAAGCAAGTTCCAGCTGAAGAAGAGCGAGCTGTTTGATGCCTTCGACCTGTTCGACGTGCGCGACTTTGCCAAGGTGTGTAGGCCAGCGCTCGCCAAATCCAAGCAAGAGGTGGCGCCACCGGCGGTAGTATTGTTTTAAAACAGGGGTGTCACATTCATTTTTTTTGTCACGGGCCACATCGCATCACAAATTGGTCAATGAACAGTTCTGAAATTCTAAGCCAGTAAAAAATAAAAAGTATGTTTGTTCCATTTTCAATTTATTTTAAAAGGATGGTTGCTTACAAAAATATAAGCAATCCATGTTATTAAAAGTCAGCCAAAAGTCACAAAGACCATTTGCAATTTTTGGTATTTTATGAAGAAACTTTTCAGGATTTGCCTTGGCGGGCCGCAAAAAATGTGGCTGGTCACATATGGCCCATGGGCCTTATTTTTGACACCCATGTTTTCTACACTCATTCTCTCATGGATTTTTTTTTTTTTTTAATTCCTTTTCTTGAGTCATTCAAAATCAACTCTGACAGCAGAAATAACACCTTTCAACCGTTTGAAGAGGTGACAAATGTGGTTCGTTGGTGCTCACAGGTGCTGAGCACTTTGTCCATCCTGTCTCACTCATCCATCGCGACACAAAAAGGATTCCAGTGAGTAGATCTTTAAATTAAAACAACAATACTAATACCAACCGTCGTAAATGTGCACATGCAGTAGAGATGCTGCCGCGTTCTTATCACGTTCCCGCCAATGCTGCCCCACAGACCTTTCCCTTTGGGAGTCGACATTTCCGATGAAGACATCTACAACGGCCTGTCCGACCAGATCGAGTAAGCGAAAGCCTTCGGTTACGATGTGAAAGAAGTCAAGTGTCCGTCGTCGTAAAATGTGCGTGATCTGGAACGGACGGTGTCGTGCAGCGACACCATAGATGAAGCGGACGATTTGTACGACTGCGTGGACGACGAGGAGGCCGAAGGGGATGAGATCTACGAAGACTTGATGAGGACGGTCGAACAACCCGAAATTGTGAGTCCCCTCGTCTCCCGCTTTTTCCATGCCCCGCCTACCGATCGACGCCATTTGCCAACGCCGACTGTCGGTGCCGAACAAGTCCTTCGGAAGAATGTGTTTGGGTTTCCACGGGCAAAGAGCCAAGTGGGAGCGACGTCATGACATCACCGTAGAGCGTCCAAACGTCACCGCCTACGTCAACGTTGGCCCAATAGGGCCTGCGCCTTTAATAATAAGAATAATAATGCGCTGTTAACGTCTGCTAGTCAACTTAGCATAGCATTGATGATACTCGGATATAACGGTCAGGGACACGTAATCAGCAAATCTTTCTTAATCGTAGATGATCACGAGGCTCGCTGCGAGTCGAAGGTCGCATGCGAGCTGGGTGTCATTCGTCTCCATCTGCGATCTTCATGCTAACCCCGCCCCCAGACGTAGTTGGTGCCAGAGTTTGGGCCAACAAATAATTGGGACCAGTATAAGCACCGGTTTCAAGCGCTTGAGCTAGAGCCAATTTCAGCGATGGAAAAAGAAAGAACCGGTGCTCAGCCGGGCGCTGGCCCGGAACTCGCGCTCGCACAAGCGCGCTGGAAAAGGGCCGTCACGGAAACCAATTCTGTCCGCCACTGAGGAGACCTCTGCGTGAGGTCTGCGCCAGATCTCGGAGACCCGATGTGTCCGCAATGTCGCGAGGCCCGCGAATGGTCGCCTCCGCCGGTGGCATTGAGCGACCCACCTGACTCGTCCGCCATTTTACCTTCTTTTTTCCAAGTGTCTTAACGTACATGGCAACGCACTGCCGCCCAGCTAACGGCATATTTTTGTGTGCGGGGCAGAAGTCCGGCGTGGACAAGCGGGAGTGCTGCCTCCAAGAGATCAAACTGACGGAAGAAAAGTACTCGGATACTCTGGGATCGATTTTACTGGTGCGATGCATCTCCACGTACACGCACACGCATCGAAAAGCTGTGGCGCTCATTCATTTTCATCACCGTCAGCACTTCAAGAAACCTCTGGAAAAATTCCTCGCGGCCCAGGACCTCGAGAGCATCTTTGTCAACGTCCAGGTACGCGCGGCGCAGACAGTGGTGGAAAAGTAACAAAGTGCAAAGACTTCTCTTCATTTGCTTTTTAGTCACACACAGCAGCAAGTTGTACTCCTTTGTTTTGCTTTTTCCGTTTTGCACTTTCTACTATCTTTGATATTCCTTTATCGCTTGGTGTTGCCGCACGTACGACACTTTGTATACAGCGGCGGTTGTTTTAAAGTGCTCGAGAAATGCGTTTGAGTTGAGTTGAGGCTTGAGAAATGGGCTCCCGCCAAAAATTATTGGTGGTGAGTGCCTGTATTTTACGGTACGTTTAGGCCGGACACGCTAATTAGCGCTTGTGCTTTTTTTTTTTTTTTTTTTTAGATACAGTGAAACACCTCTCCAGCGAAATCATGTTTGCAGCAAGAAATTTTTCACAACAGGGGACTTTTCACAGGAACAAATTTGATCTCAGACGTAAACACAAACACACAAAAAACATGTATGTGTACTTTTTATTTTTATTCCAATCGTGCATAAATATGAGCTTACACTTATTTGACACTTCATATCGCCAGTGTAAAAAGAAAAAAAGGGAAAGAAATTGCGAAATTTACGATCAGTATTTACTTTCACTGACATCAATTTCTTGCATAATTTCTTTTACTTTGCTTCCTCCGTCTTTCATTTTGATCACTTTTACCGTCTCTTCCAGCGTCAGAGCTCTTCTTGTTTTAGCTGCTTGACATCCAAAGGTCCGTTCTGTCGCCATTTTAGCAATGCAACGTTTGCTCTGTGTCTGAAACTAACAATAACAAATACTTCCAGGACTGTGGCGCGTGTGTAAACCAGCGTGGTGGTTGCTGTTGCCGTTTCGGAACGAAGCAGCAGAGGTCGCTGTGGCATGCTGAGGGCGGATTAGACTTTTGCTGAAGGCTCCTTTTGATTGTAGTGTATCTCGTCGCGAGGCAAGAGCAGAAAAAAAGATCTTGCATAACGGAACAGGGGGACTTTTCGTCGTAGGGGAAGCAGAAAAGTGGGAATGGCTTTCATGCGTGAACATTTTTTCACACTAGGGGGTATTTTCGCCCATGTAGGTTTCGTTGTAGAGGAGTTTCACTGTACGTCTCTGTCTTATAATGTGATTTCCCCCAAAAAAACCTGTGAACCCGAGAGTTTGGAATGTGGATCAGCACCGCGTACATCATCTGTTGTGTGCAGGATTTGGCCGGGGTGCATGCAGAACTTTTGGACGAGATCCGGAGTTCGGTTGGGAACGGCGCCAAGGACCTTTACCGGGTGTTTGTCAACTACAAGGGCAGGCTCCTACTCTACGGTCGCTACTGCAGTCAAGTGGAAACGGCCACCAAGCATCTGGACAAACTGGCGAGTGCCCGAGAGGACGTCAGGATGAAGCTGGAGGTGCGCAATCCGCCAGGCAAAAGCCTCCCGTGTCAATCTTTGGTCTGATTCTTTTTTTTTTGTTTTGTTTTATTCTTTTCTCTCAGGAGTGTTCCAAGAGAGCAAACAGTGGCAGATTCTCCCTCAGGGATCTGCTTATGGTGCCCATGCAGAGAGTCCTCAAATACCCACTCCTCTTACAGGTAGCACTGTAGGTTTTACACAGAACAGGTCCTTCATCATCCGCGGTGTCCTGATACTGCCAATCGAACAAACGTGTATGTCCTTGAGTGGCCGAGCCGGAGCCCTGACTTGAACCCTCGGGGAAAATCTGCGGGCCGACTTGGAGAGCGCGGTAATTTGACGGGGTGTGAACAATTCTGCAAGGTAGACTGGACAAATATCGCGTCATCCACAGTAGGCGTGCAAAGCTCGGCGAGACGTACGATAGCCGGTCGAGGAAAGCAAAAGCAAAATCTCAAATCAGCGGGGTCGATGACGCCGCCATCCCGATGATTCGCATTTTTCATCCGTCCATCCATCATCTGATCCGCTTCTCCTCACAAAGGCTGCGGCGGGCGTGCTGGATCTCATCACGACTGTCTTCGGCCACTCGGCGGGATGCACATTCGACTGGTCGCCAGCCAATAGCTGGGCACAATCATTTTTTCATGTTGCAGGCCAAATAATGGAACTCTTTCAAAAGGGGCAGACAGACCCTTCTTGACCCTACCATGTGGGGTAAAAAAAAATTCAAGGCCTGGATTATTTTTTAAAAAAAGAGGGGAAAAAAACATCCTTGGCATTGAATGAGTTGAAATTTTTTTTTTTTTTCCCCTCAATCTGAATCATCCGGTCACCCATGAGTGTTTTTTGTGCTTTGCGGGCATCTCTAGGAGCTGTCAAAATACACCAGCGACCCGTCGGACAGGGAGAACCTGCGCACGGCTCTCGACGCCATGCGGGTGAGTTTGTGAGTTTTGATGTCCATGATTTTGGAAGTCGACACAGCCCTCTTCAAATTTTTGTGATATAAGAAAGGGAGAGCAAGATCAAATATTTTCACCACCATTAAATCTGACCCCATAACCTTTGTAACCCGATTTTAAAAAATTATGAAATATATGCTGATATCTATATCTTATATTTATATTGCATCCTATACTGTGTACAGGTCTTTTTCTGAATCATTTATTTTGTGCTTGCAACACTTTGTTTTTTCTTTTCTACCCCCCCCCCCTCGATTTTGCTGCTGTAGACTGCGAATGTCCCCAGTGTGGGACAAATAAAGGTTATCTTATCTTAAAAAAACAAACAAACAAAAAAATCATTGGCTCGGGCAAGTAAAAATGAGCCGCTGACATGGTGTAGTTGCACAAGTATGCACACCCTCTTATAACTGGAGATGCGTTCATTCGGAATGTAAAATGGGAATGAGCACACGCCTGGCACCATTTCATTTGCCTCCGCTTCACCCCAACTAAAGTTCAGATGTTCTGCAAGGTTTTGTTTTTTGGGGGTTTTTTTCATGAGGGAGCAGGGGGTGTATCCACGGCATGTGTATGAGTTGACGTCTTTTTGGCCGCCCAGGACCTGGCGCAATGTGTCAATGAGGTGAAGCGGGACAACGAGATCCTCAAGCAGATCACCACCTTCCAGTTGTCCATCGAGAACATGGTAACCTCATCTGGGTTCTCCAGCTCCTTGTCGATGTCTGTGAAGACTATAGATTAGTTTTGTGTGTGTGTGTGTGTGTGTGTGTGTGTGTATTTTCTCAACATTCCACCATGCTTACAAAACAAAACGTACCCAGTCACAATCCTTGGCCCTCTTCGGCCGCCCCAAAATGGACGGAGAGCTCAAAATCTGCAGCACAGAGAAGAAATCCAAACAGGAAAGGCGAGTGTTTTCTTTTCATCTCTTTGCCACCCCCACCCTCGCCCTTTTTTTTTTTTTTTTTTTTTAATATATATTCAATCAGAGTTTGTGTGACATCGCCCCGCAGATACGCGTTCCTCTTCGACAAGGCCATGTTTGTGTGCAAGAAGAAGAGCGGCGAGACCTTTGAGCTCAAGGAGATCATCATGCTCCAGCACTACCAAGTGCGAGACGAGACGGCGGGGGAGAAGGACAAACGGAAGGTGCGCTTCTTTCGTCGCCGATGCCATCGCGATGCGGCGGCAAAGAGATGAGACCCCGAACCGAGGCTGCTGTGTCCGCAGTGGTCCTACCTCTTCCTCCTGCTGGACTCGTACGGCAAGTGCGGCTACGACTTGTACTTCAAGACGCGAGAACTGAAGAAGAAATGGCTGGAGCAGTTTGAGATGGCTCAGTGAGTTTGAAAAGTGAACACATGCGCGTTTTGTGTTTTATGATGAGACCTCGAAACCCACTGCTGTCCGCCGCCCACGTGCACGGCAGTGGCGGATGCTGGTCGGTCAAGGAGGGGAAGCTCAATTTCGGCCTACATCATCAAATGTGTCCGTTTATTCATCCGTGAATTCTACTCTCCGTTCCTTTTCAAGAAAATGATCATTTCTGACCCCGTTATACCAACCGAAACTGTGGCGACAGAAGTCAGTCTGCGAACACAAGCAACTCCAACAAAACCCACCAGAAATGAACGATTAATTTGAGTGTTAAGAGAGTGTCTCTCAGATGATTAGAAGAAGTCTCCAGTTCAAGTCAGAACACAATGAGAATTGAAACATGCTCCCACGGATGCCGACGCCGAAAGGTCGGTGATTGGCTCATTTTGCTGTCAATCAAAAAGAGATTCCGCCTCAGACAGATCATCCAATCCTCGTGCAGAAAAGCTGAGCGTCCATAAACGGCCACTGTCCATAGACTCCCAAAGACGCCGAGCGTCCGATGGGCGGGACAAAACCAGCATTTATCCAATGACTGGTCTCGTTTCAAGGCGTTTGGACTACTGTCGCGATGCCCAGCGTCCGCACTGTAGACGCTCAGCGTCCACTCAGTTTTAAGCACAGCGAAGCTGCGGGAATGAATGAGAAGAGAGTCGCGTCGTAACAAGTAAGAAGAAGCCGATTCGGAACAAAAGTTGAGCGCGTTGTAGCGCATATTTCGTCAATGACATGTCCACACAATTGTACGTACACACATATATTTGATCACTTATTTTTGGACATTTTAGGGGAAGCTGGGCTTCCCTTGCAGTCTTAGAGCAATCGCCTGTGGTGCGCGGACAAAAAAAAAAAAAAAAAACGAAATTTAGCATGTTCCACCCGTCTGATTTTTGCGCTTCAAATCTGGTGGAGAGCAGGTGGACCAAAGCTTCGTCTTTGAAAGAGGCCTGAAAACGAGCCTGACATGGTTGGTGAGAACCAAAATGGCAGACTTGTTTGTGGATCTACTCCTCAGAGAAATGTTGACGAAATTGGAACGTTCCCTCTTTCAACAAAATGGCCAAGTCAACTTCAAATGGTGGCTCGAAACCAAAATGGCCAAAGGGCTTTTCCGCCTTTTACGGCACGGCGCAATTTCACCCAAATTCCATGTCGCTCACCGTCTGGGCAGGTCCAACATGTGTCCTGAGAACGCCACGGCTAACAACCACGATTTCCAGATGCACAACTTTGAGGAGACGGCTTGTTGCAAGGCGTGCTCCATGATGCTGAGGTACGGGGGCGAACGCGCGTCCGGCTCCCGCTCACTGCCCCAAATCCAAACTTTCTCCCTCTTCCCTCATGTTCTCTTCTGTCATCCGCTCAGAGGGATTTTCTTCCAGGGCTACCGCTGCACGCGCTGCAAAACGGCCGCCCACAAAGAGTGCTTGGGCAGATTGCCGGCCTGCGGGCGCAACTCAGGTCGGTCGCTTCCGCTTAAAGTGTTGCCCGGCTCTTCCACCGGTACTGTAATTGATGGCACGTCAACCACGTCGAGATAATTGGAATGATTCCGATGTCGTTGCTTCTCATGCCTTCAGCCAGCAAAGTTAGCGCATTGATCAAGTTGGCCGCACCACGCGGATTTTTCTCTGCTTCGTGTTTAGCTTGAGAGTAAACTCGGGAGTGACAAATAGAAAATCTTAAAAAACTCGGTGTGGTTCCTTGGCCGCAATATTCCACAAGGTGGCGCCAAAGCAGACGTTTCATTTTAGACAGGGCTTAGGCCTGAGCACAAATTGAGGGAATAGTTCCATTTTTCTGTCAATAACAGAGGGTCGCTTCCAGAAAGAAAGCGTAAAAAAGCGGCGCGATGCTTATTTTCATGCATTTATGAGTACCGCCTAATGCTGAACTCTAACGTTTGCCAATTCCAGATCATGGAAGTACTGCGAGAAAAGTGAGTCTCATGCGATGACCTCAATGTTCATTTTCTCATCATTACCAGCTCAGGTAGTTGTGCTCAAATATCCCCCGCCCCCCTTTTCTTCTTTGTTGCCCTCAGAATCGGACACACAGGTCCTCGGGGAACGCCGGAATCGGTAAGATCGGCAAACTTCACTGTGGGAGTCATTCAAGTATTGACTTTTTTTTTTTTTTTTTAAGCGTGAAAAATATTTCGGAAAGTCAATTTTACATTTTTGATGCACCACGACCGCCATTGTGCAAAAGATTTGCCACATTCCTTTTCTTTAAAACATTTGTATGACGACTTATTGAATGAATTGAGAGTCAAAGAAGTGAAATTCATTCAAATTCATCAATTATGTTGGGATAAATTACTTGAGATTACATTGAAAATCAAGCATTTATTGCAATAAATTATGATTTATTTGTAATCGTTTCATTTTGATCACAATTTATCATGATAGGTTTCGAATTGCCATCAGACTCCATTTTGTTGTATCATGACAGGACAAACTTGTGTCTGATTTTAATGCTCAGGTTCCTTTTTTTTAATTCAAAGCTTTCTTTTTTTGATACGTTTATTTTACAGATACATTTTTCCTTTGTGTGCAGTAGGATTTTAGTTAGAATTACTCTCAAAATTGTATTTTTTCATGTATTTATTTTAATTAATAATATAATCTGAAGAAATAACTCACAAAAGATCAAATCCAATTTGGTATTAAATTTGAATGATTTTCTGTTTATTATGATCATTCGATTTTGTGTCTACAATGTGTCCGGTATGTTGTTTTCAAAGACGTTTTTATAATTGTACAGTGAAGCATTTTAATCTTTTTTTTCTTTTTTTTTTTTAATGTTAATATTTCGAGGGGGTTTTGTTGTCACTCTTCCAGCACCAAAATATTGGATGAACATGAGAAAAAAAAAAGTAACATCTGTTATCACACCGAGAGAAAAAAAATTCCGCGAGATAGCGGGACCGCAAAGGATGAAAAGTGAAAAAGCGAGGGGATTACCGCACTTCTATGCAAAAAGCATCTCCTGCATCATTGACGTGCGTTGCCCAGGGTTTCCCAAGATGGAGGCGTGTCAGGAGTACTTCGGCCTGCCGCCGCCGCCCACCAGCTTCGGCCGCCCGCTGCACCTCTCCAAGGGCGACGTGGTGGAGCTGACGCGGGCGGATGCCGAGCTGTCGTGGTGGGAGGTACGTCCGCCGCGTCGCCATCCGAATAATACGAGCAATAAAATTAAGAAATCATCCGTTCATCCTCCCGCAGGGCAGAAACTTGACTGGAGGTCAGACGGGCTGGTTCCCCTGCCACAGAGTCATACCCTTCTCCTGTGTCAGTATAAACTGCCCGGTAACACAATTGCATACGACGCGGCCATGTTTTTTGTTGTTTTTTTTTTAAATACCCAAATGTTTCAAATCGAAATATTTCTGGTCTGTGTGGATATTTTTTTTGAAATGGCATTTGAGCGTGGGTGTGTAGACTTTTCATATCGATTGTCAAGCATAAAAATGAGCCAACATTTCAACGCACGTGAGTGAGAATGACGAGGTGTGATCTCACCTTCTCCCACAGAGGCCCACCCCGGATCTGTCTGCTTTCAGCTGGTGAGTGCGACGGCAAGTTACGTCTTGACTTATTGATTTGGATTCCATTGAGGAAAATATTCGATTCTTAAACCTCGCATTTGTTTTCCCATCATAAAAGGTTCATTTTGTTTTGATTTTTGAATACAAATAAAAAAAAACGTTGATTTTCACATCGTTGAAAATACGACTGAACTAATTTCCCGTCTCATTGCCTCTTGTGTAAACAAAACTGTGGCGGTTGCGCCCGTCTTACCTGCAGGTTTGCGGGCAACATGGACCGGCCCGCCGCCAAGGACCTGCTCGTGTCTCGCTCCGACGGGACCTACCTGGTCCGGCAGAAGGACGGCGGCGAGTTTGCAATCAGCATCAAGTAAGATTCCCCACCGCAGCTCGCGTCTTTGCGGACAGAATGAAAGTTGCATTTAGGGCCTCGCGAAGCATCCGGGTGATGGAGTGATCCAAATGTGATCGTGCCGACCTTGTTTGAATCAGTTCTTCTTCATCAAAGTCTTCTTCTTGTCGAGCGTCAAAGGAATTCTTCCTCGCCGACCTCGGCCGGTTGCCGGACTTTAGTAGTTAGCCATGGATGCCGCAAGATGGCGACAACGCAAATTCAAACCTGAGCCGATCACAACACAGAACAGAACAAACACACACCCGTCGGTGCTCCTCTTGGATTGATTGATTGATTGACTGCGATCTGTCACAATCCAGACACAAAATGACGAGTGGAGCATTAAGACCACGCATCCAGCACGCACACAATTATGAGCCCATGTTACATGACTGTAAAGTCAAGAAATTACTCACCATGAGCAAACCACCTTCACATGAAACTGATCAATAGTATTTTATTACTGGAGGGTTATTTTAGGTTGTATTCTTATATACTTCTTCCTACTCTTCGTGTATTACAATTTTGTAATCATGTCAGTGAAAGTATAGATTGGTTCTACTTTGGCAGGTTAAACCTGGACATCAAACATATTAAAATCACCTCCTGCGATGGCCTGTTTCGTATCAACGAGAAGAAGGCCTTCAAGGGTTTGGTGGTGAGTGCCCCGAGATATTTTGTCTGCTTGTTTGGTTTTACAATTCACAACAGTACTTTGTGTCTGTTGCAGATATGCTGAGGGATATTTGATGCCATTTGTTCTTTGTTAGCGGTTTCTTTAAGCTTGATACCGGTACAAGTATTCACTCGTGGATACTCACGGAGTACCGATAAAATGACAGCTAATCGGGAACCGAAACATGCTGATGGTGGTGATTCACCAATGTGTCAAACCGCCGCAATTACTTGCGAGGACGACTGACTTGATCTTTTTTTTTTTTTTTTCTGCATCTGTGGCTGGTACCAGCATCCTCCTTGAGGACCCGATACCAATACTTGCCCATCCCCGCATTGGTCAAATACTCCAAGGATCATTTACGCTGGTCAACAGCAAATTTTAATCAGAGATGGCTTTATTGTGCTGGATGATGATGATGATGATGACCACATGTATCAATCAATCAGTCACATCTGACAAAATGATCATTCAACATCTCCTTTTTTGTTGAAATGTCACACCTGATTGTGCGCGGCCAGTCACGCAGCAAACCACAAGGAGTAGCTACGATGACCTCTTGCCTCTGCGTATTGCTGTAGGACATGATTGAGTTCTACCAGCAGAACTCGCTGAAGGAGTGCGTGAAGGACGTGGACAGCACGCTGCGCACGCCGTACAAGCAAGCCGAGCAGGGCGACGACCACAAGCCCCGCCACGCGCCCAAAGGTTTGTGCTTCTGTTCAAGAAAACAAAATCATGAGATTATTACGAAAGGAGAAATTTACAACACACTGGGAAAACTCTGCTGAGGGACTTTGAGCAAAAAAAATACATGAACGAACACATCTGGAAAGTAGAATTATTTTCCACAAATCAAATTTAAGTCGCAATTATTTTCAAAATCAATTATTGCAGTTCTCGTTATGCTCTCATGAATAATTGACTACGTTTATAAGGTCGCCGGATAAAAGTATCGGGACAATGCTAATTTTGCTAACAACGCTCATGCTGCATGCAGCCTTTTGGACAGGATAATAGTTTGAATTTATTTTATAGTAGCAAGAAATGGATTTCATTTGGACCATGATTATACTCTCATTAAATAATTAGAGGCAATGTCGTTGAGCACACAGGATGGGCAAAAGTATACGGACTTTACAAACTGTTCTAACATCAAATGATGTCGGCAATAAATATTTGAATTGGGACTTTCTCAGTATCACATTTCGCTCCAAAATGGATGGATGTGGAGAAATGTTGCTGGAGACATTTGAGGCGCCAAAAAGCGTGTTCCTTGAATGTTGCATCTTCGTAGACTGCCAAAAAGATCAAACGGCCTACAAAATGGAGAGCCCTCGGCACGATTTGGGATCACATTCGATGTGGCTTGTCACACCTTGGTCCCCCCTCATTTCAATGCGGTCACTGTGAACGTCGCACAGGAGGAGGCGGCGCGCGTACCTTCGGCATCGCGAGGGCCAGGTACAACTTTTCGGCCCGCGACCGCTCGGAGCTGTCGCTGCGTGAAGGCGACACCATCAGGATCCTGTCCAGGAAAGGCCAAAGCGGCTGGTGGAAAGGCGAAGTCTACGGGAAGGTGAGCGAGAACAAAAAAAAAAAAAAAAAATTAAAAACGTCAACAGGCTTTCAAGCACTCGCAATTGTCGTTGCCCAGGTGGGTCTCTTCCCTGCCAACTACGTGGACGAGGAATACTCGGACTACAGCTGACCTGCAGGCCGGTACTTTGCTCAGACAAATTGATGCACGTCGTCTCATCATGTGAATAAATTTGTTTTTATGACCATGAAAGTGTTGTGGGAGGTTTATGTTGTTCTTATTTTGGTCAGAGCGTCGTCCGAAAATGTCAAAATGGTAGATCCGGGATGTCCTCAGCAATGCTTTTAATTTGAGGTAATTTGTACACATTGCGCACGAGAAAACATGCGGTTGCTCCACAATGTTGTGGTCCGCCAAGTTTTTTTACAAGCAAATCCTGTAAGAAATGAATGTCACTCTTCGAACAAAGGTGGGTGGGTAATTAACCGCTTTATTTCCAAATGATCAACAACAACAAAAATCATAACATCAAGTCGCTCGCATTATTCTTATTTATTTTGTCCCCGTAATCATGTCATTTCCTGACAGATTGAGCCTTGCTTTCACTGGTAGTACAATTCCAGGTTCATGCCGTCGTGGATCTCATCTGGAAACCTTGCAGTTAAGTCAAACACAGAATCAACTTGGGATGCACCGGTACCGGTATTGGTATTGGTAACAAATATCGTATGCGCCGATACCACATCACCAGCAATGTCACCCGAGTACGCGTGCTGTGGAGACACTTTGACTTTACTTGTTGGGTGACTGCAGATTATGTTTTGCAAAATGGATGAGGTTAAATTCCATTTAATTTTCATTTAGTTTGTAACTGTTTCATCCTTCAACGATCACAGTTGTCATGATTGATATTGTTTTGTGACAAGAGATTCATCCTTGGGAGTGTTCCAAGGCAGACCTGCACGGAATGCTGTCAACTCCTTTTTCATAGCGCCCCCTAGTGTTCACATTGAGAGACTACATAACTAGAATGCCTCGCGTCTCTTTCAAGAACATGCGGTTGGATGTAAAAAAAAAAAAAAAAAACGTCAGGGATGGCAAGTAGCTCCTCTAAACCAAACATTTTCATCACAATGGCAAGATGTAATGACAACATCAAGTATCGGGAATTGGTATCGTTGAGTACCCAAATGCAAGTACTGTACTTGTACACGCGGGTCTGAGAAAATAAACGTTAACGAGTTGCACAGAAGCACCACATGTGTGAAGGATACAATCTCCCAGTGACACATGGTCCTTGAATATGGTGTACCTGCACAGAAAATAAGGACGTTTATACAAACATGAGCTGCGCAGACGCCCAGTCAGGCAACACATCCATTCGCAAAACGCTAGCCAGTTAACAGCAAAGTGCTAACACCACCTCACAAATTCGCTGACTCCCACGTCACTCACCGGGCCCCGCCTTTAAAAGCCTCTCACATCCAAACTCACAAATACAACAGTCAGCCGTGAAGTCTGCAAACCCAAGTGGATAAAAGTAGTCGCTGCACCGCAATCAATGTTCGTACAGTTACACAAATAATGAACGGGATATTTGGTAAAATAATCGATAGCGACCACCCTATAAATTCTACCCCTTTGTCTAAAAAAGGCCTGTTACTTTTTTCAACCCTGCGGCCTCCGGATGACGATATGGCATTGAAAAATCGTCGAACAGTTTAAGGACAATGTTCCTCAGTGTACAATTGCAAGGAATTTAGGGATTCCATCATGCGGTAAGGCGGGAAAAACAATATTGAATGCCCGTGACCCTGCATCCCTCAGTACTTGGACCGCCTCTTGCTGCGGGCTAAAAATCAGGAAGTCCATGGAGTTTGCTTACCATTTCTTCAAGACTATTTTGTCATACCGCGTCCCCGTCTGCGCTGCGATGAGCTTCTTTAGGTCTCCGATGGTGTCCTCGGAGCTGGAAGGTTGACTTGTTAGGGAAGCGCGCGTGTGACGTCATAGCCAGAAGAAGACTCTTATCCAACATTCATCGGTTCTTGGATTAATCACAAATACGTTTTTCTTGGAATGATCACATGGGTGTTAAATGAACAGTACGATTGTGTTGTTCAATTCGGCGGCCCTCGGCCACTTTCGACTTGAAGGATACTTGCACTTTACGCGGACTTTCTTGCCCAGACGATCGTTGCACACCACCTCGATCATCCCGTCGTCCTTTCTATCAAGGCAAACGTTTTACGGGTGTTAGAACGTAGCACATTGCAGTGTGATGTAACTATAAACAATTAGCCCTGTGCGCTAAACCGCAATAATGTCCGCCCGTGCTACTCTGTTGGGAAATAAGACTGAAAACGCGAACCGTTCTTTGAAAGCAAGCAAACGTGCTATGCAGCGAAGTGTGTCATTTACGTTAACGTTTCACGGTATGCACGCGTGTTGTTAAAATGACAACAACGTATTAAAGTAACAACTATTTTGTGTGCGGGCGTGTGTGTGTGTGTGTGTGAAGGTAGTTCATATTACCTTAAAACCCCGAGTTGAGTGGCAAAATAGAGCTCTTCAGGCTGTTTTCGAGAAGACTCGTCAAAAACCTGCTTATGTAAACCAATCAAATCGGTGCGAACTATGATTGATAGCTCACATCGACCAATGGCAGAGACGCTCCAGCGAAAGGCGGGCGTAAAGGGCAAAAACAACGTGACGGCCGTAAATGCCTCCGTGGTTGCCGCAAAGTGTGGGAATCGCTTTCGCACACGACTTGTCTCCATTTGGATTTGATCTTTTGTGAGAGGAAAACCTGCGACGGGAGAGGGTGTGACAATGGCAGACGAGGACCCTTTACCGGGGGGCTGGGAGAAGAGAATGAGCCGCAACTCAGGTGACTTTATAGGCGCGAAGAAAGGCCGTAAACCGTCTCGTTCCGCGATCGAATGTGCAACCTAGCTTGGGAGCTAGGAAATTGAATCAGCATCCCGAGTGGTTAATTAACCCAGCTAAAACTTGAACGAATGGAGGGCATACGCGATATTAGCGTAATGGTAGTAAAACGTGACAATCTCAATTTGTTGTGTATTATAAAAGTTTGGAAATGATGTAGGCGTGTGAGCCGATCCACCCTGGGCCCCTCTTGACGTCGCGGTACCACTCGCAATCACCCCGTGACGATGGGAAGGATTTAGATTTGAAATAGTTTCGTCCAAGTTCAGAGGCTTTGAGAATGCCGCATCAATTCCGTGATTGTCACCGAAATCCAAACCAACAAGCTTTATCCTTAAACGTTGTCAAAATGGCGAGAAAAAGGAGTCAGTCCTCGCCATTCGCTTGGTTGGGGCATCAAGACTTGCAAAAATATGTCAACAAATGTCTTTGCTGATTATTCAAATCGTAGATATACCTCGAGCTACGATTCCAAAATGATTTGAATTCATTTCAAACACATCTTACAAAACTAAGTGTGGATTATACACTCCACCTATTCGTCCTTGACTAGTCACAAATCATCGATTCACGTTTTGTGTTTTGTTTTGTTTTTCCCGTGGACGCTGTCCTTGCTCGTTCCTGGAGTTTTTTTTTTTGTTTGTTTTTTTTTTGCCTGGGGTGGTGCCCAAGCCCTGATTAATAGGAAATTGATGTACGGTGTCAAGGAAATCAGTCAGTTTAGGGACCACAGTTTGTGGTTAAAATTAGGAATACTGGTCAAGGCCTTTTTTTTTTTTTTCCAGAAAATTTGGGCCGTGGGGGGTTGCTTTTTTTAATCTCCGCTTATTTGCACCAGCCCCTGGTCCCCCATGTCCCTCGCAAATCAATAACTGTTCTCCGTCTGCAGGCAAGGTGTATTACTTCAACCGCGTCACCAACGCCAGCCAGTGGGAACGACCTGCTGCAGGAGATGTCCGCGTCGAGCCAGATAAAGTAAAGGAACTCTTCATTATCCCTGTAACCTTCTGAAGGTCCCAAATCCAGTTCCAAAGCGTGACGCGGCCAACCCCGTGCTTCACGACCAGTACGGTGCTCTTTTCCCGATGAGCATCGTATTGCTGCCACCCAAGGAAAAAAAAAAATACATCACCGTTGTAATGTGATCAGTTTATAAATTTTACTTTTTAACTCATCTAATCGCACCCTTTTTCACTGGAACCCCCCCGCCCCCCCCCACACACACACACACACACACACACACACACATTTTACTGAATCTTGACTGATTTGCAAGGCCCACAGAATTTTCTGTTCGACGGCTATATAAACATGCGACCTGTCAGAAGAAAGGTGAGATTCTCTTCTTTCGTCCCTTCCTCTATTCTGGTGCACCTGCGGAATGGGATGTGGTGGCGCCCCGTCGACAGTGAAGCCTCCCCTCTGCAGGCGGACTGTAATTTTGTCCCCAGCGCAGCGTGGCCCTCATCTCCATTTTTGTGGTTTTGCGTTGCAGGTTCGCTGCTCGCACCTCTTGGTCAAGCACAACCAGTCCCGCCGGCCTTCGTCCTGGCGGGAGCAGAACATCACGCGGTCCAAAGACGAGGCTCTCGATCTGATTCAGCGTAAGTGGCGAGGCCCCGCCTCCCGAACCCCTTGCGTTGAGGTTTGCTTGACTATTTGGACCGGCGCGACCGGCGCTTTCGATTTTCAGACTACATCGAGCGGATCAAGTCGGAAAAGGACAAGTTTGAGAGTTTAGCCTCTCGGTTCAGCGACTGCAGTTCAGCCAAGAACGGCGGAGACTTGGGACTCTTTGGCAGAGGTCGGTGCGACTCGAGTCACTTCAACCGGCTGGGGTGGCAGCAAGTGCAGGGGGGGTAACCCACTGCATTGAAGAGGCTCTCCAATGATAATAACAGTCATAGGCAGACGTAAAATGCTTGAATGTGCCTGGAAATTGTGCAGCGTTAAAAACAACGACTTGAATGAAAACTCGAGCCGGATTACAAGTAGCCTCGTTCCTTCTAACGGGATTCCAAATTGAAAAAAACAAAAAATTAATGTATAACAGTTATTGCACTTGTATGTATTTAAGATGTAAAATAACTCAACTACATTTTGATTAAAAATGAAAACGGCGGCACATAAACGCAGCAAAATTCCACTTATGTTTTTCAGAAAATAAATGGTCAAGTTTGACTTTTCATTGGAAAAATCAAGTCAACAAAATGACCGTTGACAAATAAACAACGAAATTATTCGTCCATCTTCAAAACAAAACGGACAACAAAAATACAAGTGTTGTATTTTAAAATGCAAACAAAAATTCATTGACATTTTAATTGAAAAGATATATTCATCAAAGAAGACATTTTTGGACATTCAACAAAGTGATGAAAATAGATTTTGATTTGAGTCATCAATTTTGCATGGTATTCAAATTGTATGATGAAAAAATACTTTAGTAGTCCATCCAGCCGTCGTTATCTGAATAGGTCTTCAAAATAAATCCCGTACAATCAAAGGATGACAATTGTACATTGCATTTTACAACATGATCTTTGTCATTGTTTTGCATTCGGCAAAACGATTAAAATTCTCGTCATGAAAAAGTCATTCAACTTCATACTGCTGAGATATATTTTTTTGAAAGCTAAATTTTCACACCATTTTGTAAAATTCATATTTTGAAACAAAATGAAATAAAACCAACTATTACAAAAACACAGAATTACACAAATGATATAGTTCCTCATTAAAAAAAAAACACGCCGAAAAAATGCCCATTCAAAACTTTGATGACAAATTGATTGGATTTATTTATTTGCTTTCACGTTTTTTTTACTTTTGGAGGTTTCTTTAAGTCAATTGCACTTGGCACCGGTAGGGGGAGCAGTGTGACTTTCTCTTGTGTGTGTGTGTGTGTGTGTGTGTGTGTGTGTGTGTGTGTGTGTGTGTGTGTTTTGTACACTTTAGGTCAAATGCAGAAGCCTTTCGAAGACGCCTCTTTCGCACTCAAGATCGACGAAATGAGCGGCCCCGTTTTTACCGACTCTGGAGTGCACATCATCCTGCGCACCGGCTGACCACGCGCACACACACACACACACACACACACACACACGCACGCACACACTCACTAAGCTTTCTCACAAGAGTTCAAATGCTATCCTAAATCCAATCCTAAAATATTTTACAACAACAAAAAAGATGCTATGGAACAGATTGAAGCGCAGATGACTGAATGTGCATGTTACCAAAAAATAAAAGCTCATCTTGCGCTTTTGTTTCCACCTTTGAAAAAAAAAAAAAAAAATCCTGTAATTTCATTGCCCCCATGTCATTTTTCATGTGTGACAAAAATGGTTAACGATGTGGCCACTTTGAAAAACCTTTGCCGTCCTTACGAACCGTCGAGCCATCAAAATAAAAGTCCTCTCTTTTTGTGTGTGCGTGTGTGTCTCCGTTTCTCGGTGGGTGCGGATAAGCGCGTCGTGGTGCCAAGGCGACACGTCTTCCCGTAACCTCGGCGGCGGCGGCTCCAGAGCGTCTTTTTGGGCCAATCACGTCAGAGCACGATGATGAAATACGAGTGCGTCGAGGCCTTTCACTTGACATATGACTGCCTGCAGTACTTTGACCTTTCACCTCTTGAACGACTACGTCGTCTCATTTGACCTTGATACCCTTGGACGTTTCAGGCTCATGAACACATCAGGTCAAAGGCGGGCTCGGTTTTGGAGAAGGCTTACTCGCTGGGATTTGGGTCTGGAGATGAAGTTGCATTTGAAGGCGCGGTTTGCCTTCAAAAGTCGGGTGCAAAAGCAGCATTCCAAGCAGACTTTCAAAATAAGATTTTCAACGCAGGTACGCTGTTTGAAATCAGGGCTTCACGAGGCCGGCGTGCATGTTGCGGTATCGGGCGCTGCCTCAGCCGCCAGGGGGCGCTGCTCCGCTTTGTTGCGGGGGTGGGTGGGGGGGTGAGTGCGCGCCCTCGCGGATGCTGTCGAGGCATCCGCGCGCGGAGCTTCGGCCGCCTGCCAGCCAGCATCGCTCTCCCAACCGGGCTCACACGCTCGTCTGTGGCCGCCCGCGGTCAACGCTCGCTCCAGCCGTCCGCTTTGTTGACTGCTCACACGTGGATCTCATTTAGGACGGGAGGGGCGCGGGGTGGGGTGGGTGGGTAGGTTTTTGAAGAAGACGAGGCAAAGGTTCCTTCTGTGACATGTGGAGGTCGCGTGTCCGTTTTGGAGACATCCTTCCCGACATGCGCGAAGGGGCCCCGACATGCAGCTCCACGTCTGCTTGTTGCTCGTCGTCGTCGCCGCCGCAGCAGGTAAGCAGCCGCCAAGCCGCCCCGACCAAAAAATATCCAACGTTTGCTTTTGTGTGCCTCGCTTTGCACGCATGAATCTGCATTTGGCATCTGATGGGAGGTTGTTTGGAGTTGACACTTGGGCGCGAACAGAAAAAACAAATGTAAATGATTCAACCCGAATCTGCGCCGTTCATCGGGCTGTCATCTTTTTGTTCAAAATGCAGGAAAACCTCGGATCGATCTGTCCATTGGTTTGTGGATATATCTGGACGCATCTGAGTGAAATTTGACACGATCTAAACCAAATGTGCCCGCTTCGTGACCCGAAAAGGCAGAAGACTAGAAGGGGGCGAAAAATCTTTTCCTGAGAAAAATCTAATTCATTTTGATGTGCCTTTGTTGAATCTGACCGAAAGTGAAGGAAATTTGCCAGGTTCTTGAACTACTTCCTAAAATCACATCGATTTCTCTATTTGTTTTGTTTTTACATATACTTGATTCCGGCCACATTTGCTCAGGGCGTGAAGCGGGGAAAGGATTTTTGGGCGTAGATATCTATCGATGAAAAAAGGTGCATGATTTAAAATAGTAGTACAATTCATCAATTCTTATTTTTAGTTAGCTTTGACCCTACCTCAAATTTGATGGAGTCAGGTATGGCGTACACTCGTACAAATTCAATTTTAAAACATGTAAAGCAGCCCGTATTGCACACAAAATCTTTTAAAAATGGGTCATATATATATATATATATATATATATATATATATATATATTTTTTTTTT